TACCTCGGGCCTGTAATTTAACCTCTCTGAGCTCTGGGATAATAAATGGAATCTACTTCATAGGGCTGTTATGAGGATAGAGGCAATTATACAGGTAAGCTTTCTAGCACATAGTAGGTGCTCAGTTAAGTGGTATTACTTTTAGTAGTAATGGTTAAATTAATGGTCTGTAAACCAATGAAAAGTGAGAAGCTGATGAATGGTGACCAAATAGAATTGAATCACACACATTTAATTTGTAGACTGTAGATCTCAACAAGGATTCCTCGTTATTTGCTCTAAATACTCCTAGTGTTATTCATTTGTTCATCCATTCATTCACTCATTCATTCAATCAGTATTTACTGAGAACTTCCTATGTTAGGCACTAGAAATACAACGTTAGATATAAATGACTCTGGCTTTATTTTCTTATTTTCTTTTATTTATTTTCTTATTTATTATCTTCCCCGCAATGGGAGAAAGAGACACATACCTAGTTGGCAATGAACATAGCATGGGAGTTACGCATATGAGCACTGGACGCATACAATCCGGCTCTGACTTGCATCTCTATCACTTACTAGCTCTGTGACCTTGGATGACTTATTTACCTTTGGTTCCATCATCTACAAAATGGGTTGACAACAGTCCTCCCCTCCATAACCCCATCATAAGATTCTTAAGAGGATTAAATGAGTCAATACAAGGGTAAAGTACTTTGCCCAGTGCCTGGCACATGGTGTACACTAGTCAATGTCAGTCATGTTTATTTCCAGGCAATTACGCCACTGTGTGGTGGATGATATAACAGGGCAATTCCAAGAGAAGGCAGCACCCACCAGATGTAAAGATTCTTGTCTATCTAGCAAACTACATATATTAAGTAATAATGAATCCCTCTTTGTATTATTAATCAACAGCTGGAATAGAAGTGGAATAAGAACTTCTAATCAGCATGAGATAAGCAATGTGACATAATTTCTGTCCAAAGCAAAAAAACTTGACATTTTAGCCTGGGGACCTTATCTAGTGTAAATGGGACAGTTCTGTTAAGCTCTGAAAATATGTATTGGACATTTCTGCCCTGGATCTCTAGGAATACCTTCACGACTGACTTCTAAGGTCCAGGGACCCCTCATCCCCAAGATGGAAACTGCTCATCTAGGAAAAAAGGAGGGAAAGGTGAGCAGGAGAGGAGGAAACAGACATTTACAGAGCAACCACCATGTATTAGGGGTTGGGTCCTTTATCTCTTTAGCCCTCCTGATGCACTGCCAGTCTGGTCTATCATCCCCATTTTAGAGATAAGTAAACAGGGGCTCAAAGAGGTTAAATAATGTGTTCTGGGTCAACAGCTAATTTGTGCCAGAATTTCCAAGGCTTCTGATTCTAAGCCTGGAGCTCTTTCCTGGATATCGACCTACAGCTCGTGAGAGTATGAGAGAAGGCACCCTTCTGTTTGGGGCACTCTCCCATATGTTTCTCACTTGGGAGAGGGATGGAGCAAGGATGGACTGGAACAATGATCACTGATCACTGTCTTCCCACTCCAGGTCTCAGGAGGGGAAGATACCCGCTCGTGGCCAATTGGACCAGGTGATAATTGGAGAGAAAGGGACCAGCTTGGGGTATTATGGCTGAAGATATAATGCTGTCTGTCTCTGCTGGGTTCTTCCTGGGAACCCATATCCAGAAAGCTAGCACCCAGGTTGGGACTTGCCAAGTCTCCATGTGCCTGGAAGCAGACAGGGCCCCTGGGGGAGAGTTCCTGATTCTTGCCTTTTCCCCTAACCTGCACCAAAGCCATCCCTCTTTGAAGGCCAGAGAAGTATGGTGCCCTGGCCCTACTCCCTGGTCCCTTCCTGCCCTTGAGAATCTGGAGGAACCCCAACACTACTGAGTACTATCAGCTGAACTTCAAGTTGGGACACCTGGTCTGATAGCCATGTCTGTACTTACAGAAACCACAGACAGAATTTTGAAATGGAATTTTTCCAGGAAAATTTGGTTTATCTACTCTGGGCCTATTGTCCACCTTTTGGGTTGTTGTAAGGAGTAAAATGAAATAATATATATGGGAAAGCACCTAGTAAACTTTAAAATGCAGCAAACTATTACTGTCATTAGTATTATAGAATACTCTATGAAAAGGACTGCAAAGATGGTCTCGTCTATTACCCCAATTGTAGTAAGAATCCCTTCTACAGCACCTCTGACCAATTGCCAGCCAGATCTACCTGCACATTTGCAGTGACAGGGAGCTCACTCCCTGAAGGATAGCCCCTTCTCTCTCTGGTTAGCTCTGATTGAGAAAAAGGTTTCTTAGATTGAGTTAAAGTCTGTCATGCTGCAATCTCTAGGCATACAGCACATTTGTACCCACTGGACTCCAGGATTTGAGGACAGTCTTCACAGCCCAAGTCATCTTTTTTTCCCCAGAGTAACTTTCTCTGATATCTCCATGTACTTTGCACAGAATAATTTTCAGATTCTTCATTCCCTGGGGCTCCACCCACTCCAGCTGGTGAGTGTCCCCTTGTAAATAAATGGTGCCTAGAACAAACACAGCCAACACTGATATGACCCCGATCAGGGCAAAGTGCAGGGGAGGCATCACCTTTTATAATCTACACTCTGTGACTCTATTAACGAAGCACAAAAGGAGTGTTTTCCAGCAGCTGCACTGAATTTGCTCATTTTAAGCTGTCATCAGCCAATACCACTAAATCTTTCTCACTTAAACTACATCAAAGTTTGTGCTTCCCAGATTTAGAATTAGTTTAAATTGACCCAGGTTAAGAAATATCACTTGCCAGCACCCTAAAAGGTAGGTTTTTAGGTGCCCTCCTTAATCACCTTCCCCCATCTCCCTGCTCCAGGAACCACTGTCATGACTTCTGTGTTATCTTCCTATCTTTACAATTTGCCAACTATGTAGGCGTAATTAATTTTGCCTGTTTTGTAACTTTATATAAATGGAATCACATTATTTTATAATTATTTTATAATTTGCTTTGTTCTCTCAAAACTGTTTCTCAGATTCACTGGTGTTGAATATATAGCTGTAGTCTGTTCATTTTCATTGCTGTAGAGTATTCCATTATATTAATATTTTAAAATTTATTTATCTGTTCTACTGCTGATGAACATTTGGGTTAGTTATTTATTGTATTATGCCACTATGAATATTCTTGTATGTGTCTCCTGGGGGCACATGTGCAACGTAATTGATAAGTAATTATTTCAGGTGTTTAAATCTTATCTCCCAATTTCCTTCGGAACATAAGAATCATGTCTTTTACACAATAAAGGCTTTGAGCATGCATGAGTTTTCTTTAAAATATATACCTAGGGGTGGAATTGCTGGATCTTAGGGTTTACCTAAAAATATGAAAATGTACATAACTCTTGCATGCTCCTATCTGATTTCAAAATTGCTTTTCCAACCACCTCCATGGCATGAAGAGCTCTAGGTGTCCAAACCAGCAGCCTGACCATTTCTGTGTGACCTTGATTTTGAGCCTGGCTTCAAGCCCCAGATTATCAATGGCAATAAACGTGCCTCTTTCTCACTGGAAAGAATCCCTTCTGTAGAGGATATCAACATCTATTATCTTTATGGCCCCTGCCTCAGGTTAGTCATCAGAAGACAGAGGATTGCACTGGGATACCCTATCTTGGACAAAGATCTCCCTGCTAAGCACTGATTTGCTCCCCTAGGAAAGTCATTTATGAGGGGGAAGTCATTTATTGGCGAGGGGAGTAAACGACCCTGTTTGCTCTCTCAAAGGCACACCAGCCATCAAAGGATATTAACTGCTCAAAAAACTCAAGTCCGTATATACGTCCTCCCCGAATGTTAGCAGGATTTGAGGCAAAAGTACAAATAGATGGCACATGTCTACCTAAATTATTTTAAATTATAAATCATTCCAACTAACTGTTAACCTTAATATACTCTATTCTTCTACCTTGACAAATATTCATCTTTAATGATGTGGAAGACCAGGTTCAAATTTAGAATTCCTGGATTCCTTGGATTTATGCACTGGAATGAGGTGGGGAGGGGAGCACCGCCTTCGTTGCACAGCCCACCCGCCTTCTTTTCCCACCTCTGTCTTGTACTAGGGATCTGTGGACACAGCAGCTCAAATGTCCAACTGCTGTGCCATCTCCAAACACAGCTGCCTCTTAGCCACTTTTAGGGATGACCAGACTCTGCCCTAGACAGATTGGACCGGGGGAAGAGGCTACAGCCTCCAGCCATTGGAGGAGGGAATTCTGCGGCCAGGGGTCCCCACAACTTGGTCTTGAAGGAGGGGCACAGGCGCCAGGTGGTCATGTTGTCCCCTGGATCCTCTGGACTAATCATCTTGTGGGGGGAGTGTGGCCAGAGTGGGGATAGAGGGGAGCCTCTGACGATGGGGCCTAGGGCAGGCTCTCTTGCGCAGGTCTAAGGGCAGTACTGTCTGCAGATCACCTCTCCTCTTCCCTCATGAGGGCAGGGATTGTGTCTGGCTGTATCCCCAGTATCTATCACAGTGCCTGGCACCTAAAGTCACATCGTACATACATAGGTGATGAATGGAAAGTACGCCGGAAACAGTTCCTCGCATTTTACCTCATTTAAACTTTTCCTAGCCATTAAACAGAGGAAGGCTGTGAGGCTCAAAGAGGTTAAGTGACTCGCCCAAGGCCACACAGCTAGAAGAGCCAGAGGCTGGGTTTGCACTCACTTCACCAGCCGGCCTCCTCTCTCTCGCCCTTCTTTTTATTATCATTTTCTTTGCCTCTGTGCTGGGGTTGAGGACTGAGAGCCTCTCCTCTAAGCGGCCGGGCCTTCCCCGCCGCCCCTCCTCCTCTCTCCCCCAACCCTCTCCCTCCTCCTCTAGTCAACCTCGCCCCGGCACCCGAGAGCCGGCAGGCAGCTGCGCTCCTCCTCTAGCCTCTCCTCCCTTCGCGAAGCCCCGCCCCTCCCCTCAGGGCGACGTCACGTGCCGCCCCATCCCCCCGCGCCTGCGCACTGCTTATTTCCCGCTGTCAGGATGAGGAGGCGGAGGTCGGCGCTCGGGTCCGTCTCTGCCCGCGGCTGTGGCGGCGCCGGCGGCTCCAGCCTTAGCGGTTCCTCCCTGGGCGGCGGCGGCGGCGGCTCGGTCGACGCCTCCTCCGCCAGCTGAGCCCGTGGGAGCTCGGGACGCCGCTTCCCCGCCCATCCCCGCTCCCCGAGGCTGGCCGCCTGGCCATGGCGCAGCCGGGCCCGGCTCCTCAGCCTGACGGTGAGGCGCCCACCATGGCAGGCGTCGCGGGCGCGGCCTG